CCGAAGAAAAAGGTTCACGTACTTGACCAAAAGCTCATGTTGAAAAGTAAAATTGCATATCCCACTTTGCGATCCCGCGCGGGCCCCGGCGTTGAAATAGCTTGCCTGGGAACGACCCGCCTCGAGAACGTGAGACCGAATAAGAGGAGCCGACAAGGGACAGTGTTGTTGAAGAACCCGAAGACAAGTGTCCCAATCGAACTGCTCTGCCTCATCCGCACTGCATAAAGTCAAAGAATCAGGGCGACCTGTACGAACATCAGAATCGTCCGAGAGTCAGTGACCAGCAGCCTTGTGTTGGAAAGCCGGGTGTTTGCCAAGGCATGGGCGGCCATCTGGGCGAGGAACTGGACACAAATGCTCGAACTTGCAATCCGGAAAAGAGCAGCCCTTCTGTGAAGAAAAATCCCTGCATAGGAAGCGAGTTTTGCCCTTGTCCTCAAACTTCGTCACCCATTTGGCTCCCCCTGTCGAAGACTGATTGCCCTGACCGCCCGACGAATGCTTCCCTTTGTCGTCCCCCTTATGCTTGCCCTTGCCGCCCCGGCCAGTACGAAGATGGGGAGCTGGAGGATCCGGGCGCCGAGGAGGAGCCATCCTGGGCTGCAAAAGGGAAGCCATGTCCCCTCGAACCTTTGTGAACTCCGTCAGAGCATCGTCCAGAGACCAATTGTGCAAATTCACCAGGTCACTGATCTGAGACCACAATTGTCTATCCGCCATCATGATCTCCTCCCCGGAAGGGTTGCGAAGCCCAGTTTCCAGCTTCTGAGTAGCCAGCCGGATGAATTTGCGCTCAAACTTTCGAAGAACTGACAAATGGGCCCCGTTGAGCATTGCCAGGGAGGTCGAAAGAAGCCCCATGATCCCTGAAAGATAGTTCGCCCCAACCTGACCCGAGGGGATCTCGCGTTGCGGCACTTCGTCATAAAGAAGATCTTCCAGCTTCGGGGTTTTTGTGGGGCGGCGCAAAGCCATAGAATCTTGTTGAGATTGACACATTCTAATCTTCCACGGTACCCACTTGAGCTCTCCCTTCTGAACGATCTTGGCAGCAT